CGCCTGCTACTGGAAAAAGACCCAGTTTAGATTCCACCCACAGCTGCTTTTTTGTTTGTCCGAGTTCCTTTATCGCGAGATATTTGGTTTTATTTTCATTGGATGATAGAGAACAGAAGGAAGTTCCTTTGTCAGCTCCGTCACTTCCCGGTTTTGTGTTGATACTTCATGCACAGGTACTGTATATAGTGGAGTCCTCCAGTAGTCAATGCTCTGCACATTGCTGTTTCTTATATTTTTAAAAGACTTATCTCCTCTGCCTCAGGACTCCCATAAATTTACTGCTGATTTCAAGCTGTTCAGCATGGGTGGCACGGCCACCCTATATATAAATTTGGCTGCTGTTACTAAGTAGTTACCCTCCTTTGATTTGCTCTTGATCACCAGAAAACGGCAATCCTTGACCCCCTAGTGCTATTTTTGTTGCGCTGCCTGCACTTGAAGCGTCTCTGCCACTACGGCGTGCTACTGAAGTACACAATCTTGGCATCGTGGTGACGAAAGTATTCAAGTCATCGCGCATTTTAAGCAGGTGCTTAACAAAACAATACAGGAGTTATTTTGTTTCAGGAGTGCTCCGAGTTGTACTAAGTCAGTGGTCTTTCTCTCTTTGTAACAAACAGTGGTCAGACTGAGATGCGCGTACAAACCTGGGCATCCTACCTGTACAAGGATAATATTTGTATTAAGTCTTTGCAGTGGCGGACCACTCGAATGATAGAATGCCAGGGTGGGTTAAATTAAGGGCGCCCGGTTAGATAACAGGATTGTTCTTAATGAAGTGACACATAATAAGAGGGGACTTAATACAGGAAATCATATTCATGATGGGTCACAGTTGCCTCAGGCCCACAGATCTCTTTGAACTCGCCGGATAGGAGTACTTGCCATTGTCTGAAATTAGAACAGCAAAGATCGAGGCTCGATGTAAGAGCTGTGCACTTGAGGAATCAGGGTTTCGTCTAGCCAGCTGCATTATTGTAGTGTAAAACGCTGGACGAATTCACGTGGTATCTTGACAAAAATTGGCTGAATCTGTTCCCTAAATTCCTGTGAGATTTCATGGCTGTAACTTCATGAAAATGATGTGGCTGTTCTGATTTTACTTCTGCTTTCCTCCATTACAGCCGTTGGAATCAAGTCGATTCCTAGGGCCTCTGTCCCCCTTACTAGCATACGATGCGATACGCTCGTTATGCGAAAGCCTGCTTTGCCATGTACTGCCTTGTACGCCAAGCTTCAGTTTGTTGATACTTTAGATGAAACATAATTTATACAATCAGACTGAGTTTATGATTAGCCTTGCATTGCCTTGGCAAAGTATTTATTTCGTTCCAAACATTGTTGATTGATTTCAAGCGTTGTTTCGATTTGAGCGCAACAACGATGCTCTATGATTTGTAGGTTATAAGAGGGACCGCCCGTCTATCGGACGGCGCGATTACAAATGAGCAAAACTCGTGCTGTAGTAGCATTATACTAAAATTTAAAAAAGTTTCATGAGAATCCAGTACATAAACAAATTCATAACTAAAAATCAGCTAATGTTAATATAAACGTAAAACAAAATGACAATGAGAAATGTCACACCCACTTCCAGTACACAACCGCTACTTGCGGTCTTACTTTGATATCCATAAAACTTTTATTTTTGTACTCACATACGGTCATTTTCTCTTCATGCCTCCAATGCCTGCCTGTACCTAACCTGCATAACACGGAGCTTATTGTTTGGAGTTCCGTGAACCGGAAGGTCCGGTCATAGGTTGATGCGAATACCAGAATTGTGTGAATTCACTATATCTAGTTGCTGGTCGTTTCATGTTTCTGTTTTGGTACAAGTGTTCTGTAGACGTAATATGCTATGCCCAGCCGTGCCTCCTGTCCTGCACAGAACAATGAACAATGAATTTATACGGGTTAAGAAGCGGTTCTTTACAAGTCTCGTTGGATAGTTGGTGGGGATATCAACATAACAATAATGATGATAATGATAGTAAAATAGTTAATACTTTAAATATGAAAATAAAGACTTATCATTTGCTTCGCCGCAGTCCTGCGATCCTCTTAGATTCACAGCACCCACAGTTAACAACAGATAATTCCATGGCAAACTCCATGTGTAGGAGGGAGACGTAGTGTTAAGTGACAAAGTGTAAGTGGATGAGTGCATCGTCCAACCGTCTTTTAAATACTGTTAGTGTCGGTGCAGAGACGACTTATTCTGGGAGAGCATTCCACGGGTGACAGACACGAATGGAAAAGAAATTTCTGCGGCACTCCAGACGACTGTATTGTTCTGCGAGTTTTAAAGAGTGGCCCCTCACCTTTGTATTGCTGCTGAGTTGCAGTAAAGGGCGGCACACATGACGTGGGTCTCGCAGAATCAAATATGCCATAATCAGGTCGCCTAGTAGTCTGCGATAGCTTCTACTGAACAATCCCAGTCGTTTCAGCCTCTCCTGGTAGGAAAGATTGCGCATTCCAATTACGTTCTTAGATGCCCGGCGTTGTGGCTGCTTTAGTACATTAAGGTCGTGTTTCAGCCATGGATGCCAGGCTTGAATTGCGTATTCGACATGGGGACGAACATACGCACTGAGCATTTGTCGAAATATGGAGATGTTTATTTGTCCAAACGTCCGCCTCAACAGCCCGACGTGTTGGTTCCCGGTCTTCGAGGCCTTTTCGGATTGCCTGGAGCAACCCAAGTCATCTTGAACTAAAGTAATACAACAGCTGCTCATCTTTTACTACGAGTTCTGCTTACGTTCCCAGTGCAATGGTAGGTGCTTACGTTCTCCACAACACAAATGGTTACACCTGCCATTTGATCTGCTAGAGGCAGCCACATGATCGCTACCGAGACAATTTTCGTTTTTTTTTGTTGCATTATTTCCCATCTATCAGTTAAGCTGGAAGTTAGAAACGTTCGTCGCATGGCGCAACTTGCTGTACCCTATGGACTACGTGGTTGTTTCGGTTCTAGTTTAAACTGGAGCCAGTGCATCTCTCCTGGGTCTTACAACCACCACAGATAGTATCATTGAACGTACCGGCGCATAACGCAACACATTACAGGTGATAACCCTTTTTGACCGGGCGCTGAGTTTACACCAACCATCGGTGTGTTTCACCCAATCTTCTAAAAAGTCCACAAAGGCATCTTCAAATGAAGTCAAGAATGCAAGTGTCCTGCCAACCAGCTGCATGGGGGCAACGTTTTATACCCCATTTCGTATAGTTGGCGTTGAAGACGTTCTTGCTGATGTCGAATCAGGAAACTGTTTGCATTCCTGGCATCATTATGTGTACACTTTCAAGCGTTACTACCTGTTTGTACACAAATACGATTTAGACTTCTCCTTCCAGTATCCCTATGCAGGTTCATATTTGCTGAGCATCCTACTTGAGCGGATACATGCCGAGGGGAATTACATTCGGGTTAGTACTCACTTGCAAGATGTGCCACCACAGGTGCCTCTTTATTCCTATCACCCACTTCCTTTAGGTATGCAGGTGGCAGGACACAGCTTTTCCATTGGGCGGTATACTTCAGCAAAACTACAACCGCCGCCACATGTAACATGCAAATCTCCGCCACAAAGTAAACCCAGCCAAGCCGTTTCTTATGTACTTCGTAAAACGTATAACGACATAACGGACAACCACCACGGCCATTTGTTGCAAACCGCACAATACTTGAAAGAGGTAGATATACCCACAAAATATATACTAATGGGACGTGCATATATTGGTTACTCCAAAGCACGGTCCATTATATGTCCAAGTACGTTGCCATTTGCCTTTTCTCTGTAATCATAAGACAAATGCTGGAGCAAGACTCACACGTAACACGCGATCATGGCATCAATGGCGGTCTAATGCGTTGAAGTGCATCAATGAGGATGCTATGACCTAACAAAAGCTGCTAAGCTTGTCTCTGTTTATTTTGAACATTTCCAAAGATTCATGCGTTGGAATAATCGCTGGCGGCAACTTAAAGATGGGCACCGCCCGCAGAATGAGGGAACACGTGTCGTCGCGTTTCGCAGTGAAGAAATTACTTTCGCTGGCACTAACAATAAGTAGACACTTAATCCACCAATAAGCTACGATGTTCTTAAAGTAAAGCTTCAATTATGCTGCGGCATAAAGTTTTGTCAGCTACCTTCTTGAAACGCTTCCAAGCCAATGGTGCTACCCCCCGCAAGTAGCAGACCGCATTCGCCATCTCTTGCGAGAAGTGCGCTCCACTTGTCATGCGGCCAGGTAAGTGCAAGTGGCTGAATACATTCGGACATAACTCTGTGCAACCTATGAATCATGTTGGCTGATTATACTGATGAGCGCTAATGTGGGCGAGCAATCTATGGCAACTGATGACCTAACTCACTGAGCATTGCAGCACATATTTGTATATAATGACACTTTTATGCAATTCGTGCAGAGGTATTTTTCCCTGAGATACATGATGATCGTTGTTAGCGCAACATTTGCCACAGCACGGCAACCGGCAAACCTCGGGCAGTCAAGACCTACTTCGAACTACATTTCTCTCTACACAGCAGGCGACATTTGTTTCAGCTATCTAACTAGGTGGCGTGCTGGTATGCATAATGCACGTACCATTCTTCCCTCAAAGTAGTAGAGTTTACTGTGGTGGGAATAGGCACCAACGGTGGGCCGCTAGAGAATGTCTAGGTCTCTGCTAATAAATCATGAATAGCGCTGTCAAGGTCATGCAAGGTTGGCCGATGATTGGTGGAATCCAGACTGACTTCTTTTGGCTCTACAAAAACGTGGCCAGTTTGTTTGGCACTCATGTGTTTTCACGTAGGTGTTGACATGATTTTTCCAAACTACACCGTGACAGCGTTTTGGCCGAATTCTACGCCAATTTCTACGCCATATGTCAGCTGGGTTTTACTAAATTCGGAAATTTTGGTGTACAGGGACACTACAAAAATAGTTATGCCATGATATTATCGTAAATATAGCAGGTTTACAAATTCAGTACGCGGATTTAAGACGTGATATTTTGCAGGAAGTTTTGTTGAAGTTGATCCCTGGTCAGTGTTGGAGCAATCTTCACTATTTAACAGCGTCCATTTCGGGAATTATACTGCAACGAATGTGAAAAATGAATGGAGATTAGTATGACTTCAGTGCCGATAAATACATCATGTGCAGCATCAGATAACACACTAAAACAACAATTGACATTTGTGCCCCCTCAAAATAATAGTCGATTTGCATCACTGTTGTACATTTGGCCATCATTCCTGCACTAGGAAATGCTGTAAATTAGCTAAAGATGCCGTCACACGCGTCTCAGTGTAAAAGCGGATTTAAATTTGTGTATTTATTTAAAAGCAAAACAACTGGTGATAAGATTTGCTAGCCCAGTTGATTCCACCAACGCATCAACTTTGCTGAACTAGAGAGTTGTCTGCAACTTCCTACAGAATGCAGTAAAGAGCATAGTCAGTGGCTGTTGTTTGCTGATTATTTGGCAGTCCCACAAAATTCGAGCTTGTGATAAATTTAATCGTTTGCTATGAACAATCACACTGTATATTATTAGTAACATTTCTGTGGTGATAAAATTCGAAACAACGGTTAACGTGTGTCTATCTCACTGGAAATGGACCTGAATATCTTACACAGGCGGACTGTGGGTCAGGAAAACTTTAGTATGCCCTGACGGAAATAATATCCTGAAACAACTTGAAGAAATGGCTAAAGAAAGCTGTTGGTGTAGTAAAAGCCTAAGGGGCACCAATGCTAACTGCCTAAGAATAAACCTACAAATCCTATATACATTCGCATTGTTACTAGTTCTGCAGTAGACGTGATGCTCAGTATATGTCATTTAGGCACCGGTTTTGTGCAAGTGGAATGCAAGTGATTACTTCCAGATTTACTGCTCACACCTTCCATCTTTATCCGTTGAAATGCGTCTGCTAGGAAACTTCGTGCTAGGACGCTCGCTCCAACCTGCTTTATTTGTTCGCGTTTTATTGTAGCCTGGAACATAGTCAGATGTGCCCTCTGTTATTGGTTTTCACTCGCGTGCCTCATGCCGGCGTGGAATTTACTAGCCCGTTATCTGCAACACAGGTATGTCGAAAAGCAATACATTGGCTTTGGGCTCTGTTGCTTGCAAGTGATCCTGTGTGTGTTCTTGCTGTGAACTTAATTTGTTCTTGCTGCTGTGTGACTTCGCGCAACCGTTGCTGCTTAGTTAAACTCTGGAAACTTCTAGTTGGGATTTCAGCGTGTGCCTGAAGCGCATGTTCCTGAAGTTCATTAGCTTATATATGCATTATAAATATTCGATAATCTCTCTTCGTATCAGAACCTAGATTCCATCGTTTCAGCAATTTCAAACACAATAATTCAGCAAAATGTCTTGCGCTATTGTAGCTCTACGAGAGTAAATTATTGTCCGCTATGCCGTCATCATTTAATGACAACAATGATCATGAATTACCGAAAAAGACAATAACTCACTACTCCTCCAGCGACTGCTCCGAGATCACTGATATCAGGCGCCGGAAACAGACTGACGTTTTGAATTTGCAGAAAGTGTTCTCATTCTCAGGATTGCACTCGTTGAATAGCACGGCAGTGGGTTGGGATCTCATCCACCAAACGTGCAATGCTATGGCTAAAAGCAAAATGACGGTGAGGGTTCCTGTGATAGCGCAAGCAATGGATGCCCAAAAGGGCAGTTTCTTTCGCAATTGTAAAACCGTTGTTTGTAGTCGGTCCACGGTATTTTTGTCTGCTGAAACATGCTGGAAAACGGAAACAAATAAGCTTTGACAAAATTCGGACATTACTATAAAACAAATTGATACGCTACGGACTTACAGTTGACATCCAGGCAATAGGCATGTAATAAGGTCCTGCCATTGTACCGTAGCTCCTGAAAGCAGTAAGAAACGCAGGTTACCAAAAGGACTACGCATTAATTATTGATAATATCATACAAAAGAGGGCAGGATAAGTATGCTTTCCGTTACTAGCTTTTTACCTATTTCGGACCTAGCATTTAAATAAGTAAGTTTTGAAACGCAGTCCACTGATACAGAATACCTATAACCCTAATACCTCCGGTAATACAAAACATACACTTCAAGGAACAGCAACTACAAGTCTGGCGTAACGCCTATTTGAATGATTAGCAAAAGTAACTTTAAGTCAAATTTGAGCTTTCTTAAGTTGCTCTGTAGCAACTGCATAGGTAAAATCTAACTGCCGCGTCAGTTTTGCTCACAGCAAATGCCACCTGGAGTGTCATTGTCGGGAGAAGCAACACAGAAACCCTTCCAATTTGGATGCAATTCTAAAGCTTGGATTGCCAGCAGTCTACTTACAATTAAAACAAGGTCTATGTAAAGGTGCTTGCCACAATCCAACCACACTGCGGGTACTTTAAACTCAACATTGAAGTTGCATTCTCGTTTTACTTGTGGCGTAGGCTGATATAATTACCATTGATCCTGATTATGACATGTTGCATAAGCAAATGAAAAGCGACTACACAGGTGACCAGTCATAAGGGAAATCCCAAAAGATACCGTGTTGTTCACAGTAAAATTGACTGCGTAATCCGTTACCACCTGACGTTGACTAATTTTACTTATAAAATTCACAAAATTCTTGGAGCATTCATTGTGTCTACTATTCAACGAGCCTCAGGTTAAAATAATTGGAGTTTCTGAAGGAAGTACGATAATTCAAGTTTATCTTCCATCTGGATCTCCTAATAAACGCTGTTGCAAACTTACTCGTCAACGTTCGCCATATAAACATTGAACTGCAGCCGCTGATAGGCCTCCAAAGTGAGTCCAGTTGTCTGTTTACAATGGAAATGATGACAGCGCGGCTACAGTTCAAATGTACTTGGTAATTAGTTGACAAAGCGCACACGAAAATCGGACAAAACACATACGGAGAAATCGATAAGAACCATCCATTGCCCATGCATTCTTCAAATGGTATCTACTTTCATGGGTTTAACTTAGTTACGAATTTGGCACTTTAGGAATGCACGGAAAGTATTTTGCGAAGCTGGTTGATTAATTTCAATTAGAAGTTTTCGCAGTCATCTTTGGTTGACCTTCAAGAAAGTACTGCAGTCAATTTAGACTTTTGCTTTAAAGCTCGAAACAGCTATAAGCCCTAAACTTAGCTCAGGTAGTGAGGCGTGTTGTTTAATCCACCGGCCTGCCTCTGTCCAAATATTGATGGCAGCTTGGTTTGCTTTAACTTTACTGAATTTCGATTGGACAAACTGCCTAACACTTCCAGTAAATATGTTGAAAGTGTTGTTAAAATTATGTGATTTTGAACCTAAAAAGGAACCAGAACTGTGGTTTCTCTGTGGACGCTATCCATTTTACATTTTAACTTGCTAACGACTGTGCGGATCCTCGCAGCACTAGCTTTTTGTTTTCCCAATGTAGAGACTGTCAAAATGAGCCCTGTTAACAATTGTACTGTTCACTAGGCGCTGTGGCAGTTAGTTTAATTGATCCAATTCGCCCACAGGGACTTATGTTCTATTGCAGGAAGGGTATGCACGATGGGAGAATCCCTTAAGAGTTCTTTCTTGTGCGGATCGTTGAGTCAGTAATTGATAAAGTACTCTGAGGTCTTGAGTAAACAATTACTGCCAACATTCCCTGCACTAATAGTCCCTGCTATAGCAGTCATGTGAAGTAAGCAAAGGATAAGAAAGCAATCGAAAGTACAGAATATGGATGGGCATTTGAAATAAGGGGACAATGCCAATACAGATGGAAAGTAGTACAAAGTCAAGCCAATTAATGCTATATTTTATGTACTCGGATAGGTGCATTTTCAACATTTTATACTATGAGCTGCGGATGAAGTAAAATTATCACAGCCATGGAACATTTTATCAATATGTCACAAAAAGAGAATAGGGTGCAATGGCTTGTCGCTAGTAAAATAACTCGTATCCTTTTGCACTGAGCGCAACTACTAAGCAGAAGTATTCGTTCTTCAGCCAATAGAGTGGATTGTTGTGAAGATAGTCCGTCATAACTGGTTTAAAGTGGCCCAAAAGTTCGCGGTCAAAAACAACAAATCGCCACTGGTGCGCAATATCAGATTATTACTCAAAGTACGGCGATTAAGACGGGATTAGTAAACTTGGAAGTGGAGTGGATAATAACAGTTGTCAAAATATCCCTGCAAAGCTTTTGCAGCAGATAAAGTAAAACGACGTTTACTGAAAACTCAACAGCCGATTTAGTGGCCCCGTCCAACCTAAGGTACGAAGATGTGAGTTAATCAGAATAATGCAAAAGTTTCGTGTTGCTGCTTAAGCGCGTCAGTTTGACGCTGAAGCCCGTTAACCGTAGATTTATTGAGGTTAATTTATGGAAACATGTTCAGTGCTCCAGGAATCGAGGTGACAACTGAATTTTCCCCATACTATTATGGGACTGCGGTTTGTCCAGCTTCATGGAATGCGCGCGAAGAACAAACAATATAACGGCGCTGAGTGACCAAGACAAATATGGACCAAATTATCAATTGAAATACGATTGCCTAGGAATACGTCTCCTCTAAACTTGCGGTAATGTACTGTATGCCTTCTCAAACGAAGTAGACGCTCGGAGTACGCCTGTCTCTGTACCCCTTAATCAACCTAGTACTCACCCGCAAAACTATCTCCAGCTGCAGTCTGTATCGGATGAAATAGTGGTCAAGTCTGGATGCAGTATTCCAGATGAGGCAAAAGGAAATCTGCAAAAGGTCTCAGAGAGATGTCGCCGTTTAGATCTCGTAGGATCGGCGTATTAACCATAACATATGGAACCCATTATTTGTGGCTTCCTTTCAGTTGTCGCTCGAGTGTAAATTCGAAGACGGTACGACGCCTAGATCAACTTGGCTGGATACACAGGGGAGTTGGATCCCACCGAATAAATATCCCGAAGTGATAGATCACCTTCCAATTCGAAAAACGGCCGTAGTCATAAAGTAAACCAGTCCCAAATCTATCCAAGGCAAGCCAAATAGCCTCAAGATCCACAGGAACATCAACAATATTCCACAACCCCTCTGAAGACATGACTACTCGATCGGTTCTATATATTCAAAGAATTTGAATATTCCACAACGTTAGGTCATTGGTAACTAATATTGATGTTACCTCAAGCTGCGCCAGTAGATGGTTCACAAAGATAGAGGACAGAAGCCATTCAAGAACAGAGCTTTACGGTGCGCCACTAAGGACAGAATACCTAAATGATGGGCTGCGTCCCATGCGTATGCACTGTTCTCTGCGATCCAAGGATTCAATCATCCAAGAGCGCGACCGGATATACAGTAGTAAGTTGGATTTTGCGCAAGCCTTAAGTGTTGTACCGTGGCAATTGCCTCGGAAAAGTCGACGAAAACATGTCCAGTGCCTGGCCGTTGTCCACTGCCTCGGCCCAACTTTCGCGAGCTACCAATAGAATCATGAGACGTGAAAATCCCCTTCAGAATCCGGGTTGTGCATTGCCGAGTAGATGAAATCTTTTCGGTCAACTCTCCAAGGAATCCCTTACTACTTTCTCTAGGAGTATGACTGCTACACTGGTCAGACTAAATGGCCTGTAATTAGTAAGCATACTCTCGTCGCCATTTTTGAAGATGGAAAGGCTGACAGCTAACATTCCATTCGGAAGGTAATGCACAAATTGCAAGCCATTATTGAGTTATGGTAGTGAGCAGTACACTTAGTTCTGTGGCTAATTCACGCAACCGCTTCAGGCGAATTAAATCAGACTCAGATGCTTTAGAATGGTTCAACGCTTGTCGCAATCTACAAAATTCCACTTCCGCTACACCAAATTTAGTTAGACACCTACCTTATGAACGCTGGAAACCAGCTCAACGCCTTCCAACGATTATATCTCACAAACGCAGCCACAACGATTACACAGGCATATCATATTCTGTATGCGCATGTGTATCGTAGGTTTGCATTAACGTTGGAATCGAATAGTGCGAACTGTAGTGCCTTTTGCTATATGCAAATAACTTCTTAACTTTTCTGTGACTCCACCTGCTAGACCATTCTCAAACATGAGTCGAACATTACTTAGATGTTACGTACACCACTTTTCAACCTTTTGGTACTTGTCTTAAGTACCGGTGGTTGGAGCGTTTCGGTAAGTCTGTCAGCATTTAGATCTCTTTGTGTGAAATGCTCACCAGTGCAATCTGTTCAGGGGCTGTGATCCTGCCTCCATTCTACTTGTGACCGGAATGTAGGGAGCAGAGACCTTGGTGTGGTAGCATTTAAATTGATCCCAGACAAACTAGACAATATCGTTCCCCGTGATCTCACAGCGCGAGCCTGAAGCATTGGCTAGCAGCATCTGATAGTTTGATTACCATATATTTGGATGTGACTCAGCGGCATACTAGTAACGTCTGAACAGAGTGGACTTGAAGTGCAAACAAGCATGATCACTAGCACCCACTGGAGATCCGTAAGCTATGTCACCAAAAATTCGAGTGACTTAGCAAACATAAGGTCTAAAATAGACGGTACTTGGACGTCCAGTAGGAACGAGTACAAACCGGTGCAACGGCAATTCTAGCCAAAGCCCGAGAAAGTATGCACCCAAAGTACCTGAAGCTAAGTTGCAAGAAAGATATACCCATCAAACCGCCGGAAGGGTGAAATTACCCAGCATCACACACCTGTTTGCGCACCATCTTGGATGCATTTCCAGGGCTCTCTACACAATTGCCATTGTAAATTGAGTTTAGGAAGTGCCAATGACAGCTCACAGAGCTATAACCGTTTTGTATACACGCTGAAACGAGCGTATCTTCAAAATATCAAGTTTACGACGCACGTAAAGAGCGACGCCCCTATCTTCTGAGGCAACGGAGCGATCGCAGCTAAATAGATCGTAGCCAGATTGATATACTTGCAGTCATTGATGTCCCGAGACAGCCGGGTTTCAGTGAATGCGAATGTGTTGGGATGAAACCGTATACAAGCAGACCTAACTCAGAGTTTTGTTCCTTAGGCTACGCGCACTGCTGAGCGCTATCTGCTTGTATCCGTAAAATCTCTTTCTGGGTCGTGCGTTATCCTAACAGGCACAGGCAAAGTGGAAATGGCCGGTGTCTGACAAATGTAAGCCCACCAACCGGATACCATTTTCACGTGCCCTCACCTGCTTTTAAGGTCTTGGATGGCCTCTTTTAACTTCAGTTTATCTGCTAGCGAAAGATCTGTCTCAGCAGTAAAATTTGCACCCCAAAGTTTAAAAGCTACCCACAAGAGCGCATTGCGTTCCTTAGGGACATAGAGAACCACATGAAACAATCATGGTCGAAGCTTTGGCGCGCCAGCTAGGACTGTATCCAGTCCAGTCAGCTTCCTGACAGTACCGCTTTGTAAACCAGGAGAAAGGAACTTTGTTACTCACGTTTTAAAACACTCTAAGTCATGCAGAATGCATTCAGCAGAGAGAACAATAGTTGCTTCTACCGGCTACGCAAGTTGATACTACTATCAACTAAATAATCACCCCGCCGTATTTTTACCACTGGTTTTTTGTCTAACACAAATTGGCCTCGCCATTGCTGATGTGACTGTTATTATCAAACAAAGTTTAAACACTGGCAGTGTATAGTTTTCGTTTCGCAGTCGGCGTCTTATTTGTTCGGGTCTTCAAGCCCGAGGCAGCGAATGTATACCTTCAGTGTCTAGATTCAGGATAAACCTAAGGAAAAGTTACATTCTTAGGTACGGTTTCATATGGAACAAGCTGCCTAAGGAGATGATGTGTATTGAATACGTCTATATGTTTGGGGAAATAACAAAGATTTATCGAACTAAAAGTGTAAAAGACATTTTTATAGCTCAACTAGATGGTTAAAAACTGTACCAACAATAAGGACCGGATCATATATGATGTCAGCAAACGTCGAGGAGAAATGTGTTACAACTGGTAAAACAACGTAACCTGGATACTAGAGCATTTCTATTCCAACTTACTTTAGATTCTATTCTTTAACGCAGCACTTTCTGCACATGTACTCAATATAAAAGTACTTCATACTGATTATTACCTGTCAGAAATTAACAGCATCAATGATTTATTGGTATGGAACAAGAATATCAGCGTAATCACTTGCTTACACTGATAAATGCGTACCATTTGTTCTGCGATTCTCCTCACTGCTATTTTTCTGTACCGCTAGCAGGTTTTATTCTTTGCCGGAAGCAATGAATCACGGGCATCTACGATTGTTCATTGCCCGGAGATATCGAATATTCGACGGTTCGAATGTCTGCAACTAATGATAACCCTGAAGACTACTTTTTGTACCCATTGCATGAGGATAATACGAACAGTTTTCGTCTGCTCTGCCGTAAAATTTGATGTTATGATCCGTCGATCTTCCACGCACAGATGTGGAACATGTCATGTGCTTGTTGTTTATCGTTAATCTTCGCTGTTTTTAATTTATCACACCATACAATCCTTATTTTCTTGTTGGCTTGGAGTGAACTTATCTCCTGAGGTGACGGATTGAAGCTTCCGGGGTAAAAGTTTTATACCAATGCAAGGCGCATGGGTACAGTCTGACTGGCGTATCATAAAAATGGTGCCACGCTCGAACGAGTCGTATGACGAAGCAGACTGGGGGATTCGTCACACATAGCGTATGCATAAGAAAGCAGCCTAAAAAGATTGTTAAACAGGTGCTGGTTGACATGCTATTTGGCCACGCTAGGAGGCAACCAGATGGGGCTTGGAAGTGTGGTGGGTCTTTAGAGGCAAAATCCTGCTTGGATGCAAGTTAGCTGGGTACGGTACTACTTTTTGCAGTATTACTTCACTTGAACTTTTGGGTAAATCTACGGTTGTTTTTGTCAACAAATTTTACAGTATTTCTAATACAGTCAGTTTATCGCTCACCCCATAACCCAAACAGTTGCCTACCTTATGCGATCTCGCGACACCAAATGATCAGATTATTCAAATGGAATGTGCTCCTCCTCGCCGAGTAATAAGCCGTTTATATTATTTGAAGGATGTTTGTGAGTTTGCAATCCCATGCAACGTACTTGCCATAATCATAATTGGGGTGGAGTTGTTTAAGTGCTTACCGGCTCCAGATAAAGGTGGGTCCCATGTTCCGATCTGTTCGGCTGGCGCAGTCCTTGAAGTCCAGAATGAGTGCGTATATCCGCGTCTAGGAATAAGGGCGAGGAAATGTATATGGGAAGTGACGTCGATTTCACTCCAAGGCAGGCCGCCAGTGCCATCAGTCCTCGAGGAGGACAAGGCAGATCCGAGTTACAGTATTTTCGTTCACTCCAGTCAGTAGCTGGATCTTTTGCTTCGTTTGTAAACACAAGCAACTAAAAGAGGGATAATAATTTATTGAGCGATCTTTCACTAGTCTATGTTAGCAATAGCGGAAGCTATGCTAGCTTGGCGCCAACTTTAATTAATTCCCCAGCTGATCGTAGCATACTCGCAAGTCAACCCGTCTTTATTTCGCTTTACTAATTCTATGCTTGTCAGTTTCAGGCAAACCTTAAAGCCATGCATAACGGAGGCTGTGACGTAAACTGACTAATGTACTGTTCATCAAAAAATATTTCGTCCGGATGTACATAATGTTACGAATAACCTGAGGTTTAGACCAGTAAAGTACGACTCATTAAGGTCCTCTTTGAACTAAAACATGCAGAGATGATTGGCATGTAACCTGCCGGCTCTAATTAATGTAAATCAGAGACTGAGCATTGCTATTGATAGGATAGTATTATGGAATAGCCTATGGAGAGCCTATGGTACGTTTAGGCTGGTGGTGGCTAGATCCTGACAGATGGTTTACCCACTGCAGCCACTGTTGTGCCAATTGCTCATGTCCTGGGCGCCTCCTCGTGGCGACTGCTGGGTGGAATTTGGGTTGCCTACTTCTCCCTGCTAAGATCGAGGACACCAATCCGCATGAGTCAGTGAACTGAGCATGTGCTAGGCCCGTTGCCTTTCGGGTGTTCATTTAATCGAAGACTTTGGCTGAGGACCCGAGTCGTTCTGCTATCAGGAGTGGGCGCCCTGCCAGTATCCTAGTCCATCCTCTTCGGAGGTTAGGAAGTAGTCGATGGCCCTCTTCCCGTAAAACCTAACCATGGGAGGCAACAGGTCTACGGCTTATAAGCTCACAGCTCGATTGGCATAGAGCACGAGGGCCACGCATTGTCTCTGACGGTGGGAGTGCACCACCGGGTGTTCAGTGGTTTGCTACTGCCCGCCTCAAGCCAGGCAGCCCCTGGTCAAATTGGCGCAAACCCGCCAAAACCGACCTGCGTCTGGCCGTGGTCGCAGGAGCGTATCCTACTACGGTCGTAAAACATATATGAATAATTCCAGTACCACAAAGGCTGCGTGTGACGGCCGTCAAGCAGATCCCAATCTCTCTCTGCAATCATATTCCCGAGCTGGATCTGCTCCCCACTGCCTTGTGCATCAGGCTATTGAGCCAAAGGTTCCGGGCGGAGTCCCTCAAGCAAACCGCCAAATCACCCACTGCCTTGTGGGTCAGGCTATTGAGCCAAATCTCCGGGTGCAGTCCCTCAAGCAAACCTCCGAAGCACAACGACCATCTCGCGGGCGATTGCCCACCAATGCAATCGTATGCCTGCGCAAAGCACTCAGCATCGGGTGCAGGAACGTGCGCACACTACTAGACCGGAACTCCAGCGAGCGCCCGGAGCGACGCACTGTACTGGTCGCAATGGAGTTGGCGCGCTACCACATCGATATTACGGCGCTCATTGAAACTCGGCTCGTTCAGCAAGGTAAGTTGCATGAAGCAGGTGCTGGCTACACATTCTACTGGGTGTGCAACGCCACCTCAACATCACGTAGACATGGGGTCGGATTTGCAATATCCGATAGCCTGAATGGCCAGCTGGTGGGTGAACTGAATGGGATCAGCGCGCGACTGATGACTGCTCCCCTACTACTCAAAAGCTAAGTTTGCCTCTTGTATAAACATTTACGGTCCTACCATGTGTTATCCTGATGACACTCTTGATCAATGCTACACTCGGCCATCCTCCGTGATACGGTCTGTGCCGAGGAGCGACCGACTATTTCTGCTGGGTGATTTCAACGCGCGCGTTGGGCGTGATGCATCGGTGTGGACAGATGTCATCGAATCGCATGGCATTTATTCAGCGAATGCGAACGGTGATAAGTTTCTCTCGCTGTGTGCCACTCACGGCCTGACGATCAGGGACACTCGGTTTGCATTGAGCGCTAGTGATATCGCAAATTGAACACACCCAAGGAGTGGTCACGCTCACCTGCTCGACTATCTCATCGTAGGTCAGCGTGAGATGCCTGAAGTGCTCATGACACGTGTACTGGTTGGAGCTAAGTGTGGCACTGATCACAAATTGGTACGCACCCAACTGTACATATATTTTCATAAATCTATTTATTGCACTCCCGCCGTGAATCGGCGTAAATTTAACGTTCTCTCCCTCGATACTGTGGCAAAACGTACTGAGCCGTAGAAGGCGATGGCTGCAGCCTTTGTGATGTGGACTGCACAGCCACACTGGGCGACCTGTAGCACCACATTCGCGACCAGGTGACAGCTGTTACCGAGGAGACCATCGTTCGCGCCAACTGTAAGCAGCTTGATTGGTTTGATGAGAACAATGCGACGATTGGCGCATTGGTGTCAGAGAAGAATGCAGCATTTGCTGCACATGTAGCAGACCCCGGTGTCTTGGGGAAGAATAGTCAGTTTCGCAAACTTCGACTGCGACTGACCCGAGAGCTCCGTCGCATAAAAGGTGCTTTGTGAACGGAGAAGGCGAAGCAGATAAAATGCTGCGCCGAAAGCCGCCCACACAAGGAATTCTTTGACTCCTTGAAGACGGTGTATGGACCGAGATTGGAGCCTCTGAGGACGCTGATCGATGGTAGTTCAGACGTTACCTGCACACACTGCAGAAATAATGCAGATCTGGCGAAAGCATTTTGACTGTGTCTTGAACAACTGTTCCGAAATCGACTGGGCTACGTTGAATGGCCTCAAGCAGCACGATGTTAAGACGAGTCTGTCGGACACGCCGACACTGAATGAGACGCAGAAGGCACTTGCTCAGCTGCAAAACGACAAATGTACCGGGGCCGACGGGATCCCGCTTGAAGTATTGAAACACGGTGGACCCGCGTTGTTGACTGCGCTGCATCACTTGGTGCAACGTGTATGGACTGAGGAGGAGGTGCCTCCTGAGCTGTGGGATGCCCTTGTGCTACCACTGTACAAGGGTAAAGGGAGCAAGCAATGTTGCATGAATTTACGTGGCATCAACGTGCTGAGTTGTGTTGGCAAGGTGATTGCCCTAATCCTGCTCAACCGCCTCTTCAGTCAGGTTTTGGAACCGGACGTGGCGGAAGAGCAATGTGGATTCTTTTCGGGTCGCAGCACTATATATATGGTGTTTGCGGCTTGTCAGTTGCAAGAGAAGTGCAGAGAACGACACCAGCCATTGTACTCGCTTTTTGTTGATTTCACCAAGGCACTTGATACGGTGAACCGCGAGGCATTGTGGCTAGTGTTGGATAAGTTTGGTTGCCTACGTAAGTTTGTACGTTTAATTGAATGTCTGCACAGTGGTATGCGAGCGAGAGTGCAGCTGAGTGGAGAAACCTCGGATGACTTTGCAGTTGTCTCTGGTGTGAAGCAAGGCTGTGTCTTAGCTCCTGCCCTGTTTAATATATATCTCCATGCAATGTTGTCTTGTGCTTTTGATGCGACTTGTGCTTACGGCGTTCGTGTGGAGCACCGTATTGATGGTGGGTTGCTGAACATCCATCGTTTCGGTGCGAGAACTCTAGTCTGTGAGACAACTATCCGTATGTTGCTGTTTGCTGACGACTGTGCATTGTTTTCACACAGCGCGGATGAGTTGCAGCACATGACTAGTGCTCTGGCTTCGACAGCAGAAAAATTCGGGAACACCATCAACACAAGCAAAACTGTCTGTCTCTTTCAGCCTTCACCGGAGGTGCAATCTTTAATATTGCCGCGAATTAGCATTGATGATGAAGTATTGGAAACCACCTCCCGCTTCTGCTACTTTTGGAGTGTGGTGTCGACTGATCAGCAGCTACACGGTGAGCTTCCCATTCTCGTGTCGAAGGCAGTGGCGGCATTCGGGAAGCTTGAGTACCAAGTGTGGAACAACTATCAGCTTACCATAAGCACAAAGCTGTTGGTGTGCAAATCCATGGTGCTGTCCGTTCTTCTATACGGCAGTGAAATGTGGACGATGTACCGGCGGGATGTGCGATATCTCGAGCGGGTCCATCAGCAGTGTTTGCGACGGATTTTGCGCATCGGTCGGGGCGACAGAGTTGCAGACACGGAAGTGTTGCGCCGTAGTGCAATTTATGCAACGGACAGCATGCTTTTACTGAGACACCTGAGGTGGCTCGGTCATGTGAGCCGTATGGATTCAACGCGGATACCGAAGCAACTCTCATATGATCAGCTGAGTATAGGGAAGCGGCACGTGGGGAAACCAAAGTTATGTTACCAGCACATTATTAAACTGAACCTCCCACGTTCTAATCTTGATTGCAGATCATGGGAATCGAAGGCGTTTGACAGACGTGCATGGCGCGATCTGATCACGAAGGCGGTTGCCAAGCTGCAGGAGACAGCCCTCATGCATGCAGAGAAGAAGCAGCAAGTACGGAAGCGGCGAGCACCGATGGGTTGTTCTCCATCGACATCGAGCGCATGGTGCTGTAGCACATGCGGTCGAGAGTGCCCGACTCAGGCAGGCTTAGTAAGCCATGAGCGAGGCCACGCGGGACCACTACCGAAGCGACGAGGGGTCCTGCAGAAAATGTAGGTGGAACTATCGCAGTGTTTGTAGGTACGCTGCATTTGATTCACTAACCATGTGCTTGCATGCTAAGTCTCATTATTTCAGGTGGTGGGTTTTCATTTTTGTCCCAATGCTTTACTTTCTCAAATAAATGCTCACTTCTATCTCTTCGATATTCTTGCACAGGTCGCTTAAGCCAATTATAGTTAATTTCGATAACAATTTTGCGTTTGTGTCATTTCCGTAAAATATGCTTTCTGACCTCGTGAACTTATCTCGGGTTCGTTTGTAGACAACTTATTTCATATGCAAATTAATTTAAGTTTCTTGTCACGGTTCCTTATGCATTACTCGATATCTTTTCTTTGTAAGTTTTCTCCCAAGTGATTGCTTGTTACTTGATATCCCCGGCGTGACTGCGCTTGAGACGCATTTTGACAAGGTGCCTACCTGTCTATTACCCACCACATCGTCCATACTGGCTCTAGGAGACAGTTGGTCGTTGCTGGATGGGACAAGGTGCAGGGTTCTTATGGCCGTGTTAGGATCAACGAGTGGTTCCATGCACTCAGTGTGGAGCGGACTACGGTCAGTCACCGCCTTGTGTGCGCTTGATTCCAAAATACAGCTTGCTTGTATTTGCCTGTGAAGAAGTGTTGGCAGGCTCCGTTGATGAAACTTGATGTCCATCCACATGCCTCCTGGTCTTATTCCTTCGGGTTTACACTGGATATGGGGTGTGTGAATGTAGCGGTGGGTGGTGCAGTGCAAGCCACCCATGTTTCCTGTGTAGGCGCAGGCGTCCTGTGGCTGGCCACAGTGACAGGCAAATCCGAAACCGGATGCCGCCAACCATTATGGAATAGCTATGTACTCGGTGAGGAACTCAGTAAAATATGTGGATAAAGGACCGGCTTGATAGCAGCTAGTTTTTCGTTTCTTAGTATGTGATGGCATTCAGTTTGAGAAATCTCCTAGGTATTTATAACTCGGGAAACTGCATTGTGATTCGGACAACATATTTCAACAAGCAACGCATTTCTGTAGTCCGTGCCGTTAGAGTCTATAGCGGGATTGCAGAATACTTTCGTTCAAAATAAATGTTATGTTATACTTACAGCTGGCATTAATGCATTACTTTCTTACTATAAAACTGCTATGCCAGCCGTTAGAAGAAGTTAATCAAATAGTTGTCAGCTTGCATCGCTATTAGCACTACGTTTTTTACCACAAAATTACTGTAACAGATGTGGTAACCTCAACTATTTTGGATTGCTCTCACTGGCGATTATTCTGGGTAACCAATCACCGTCAGAACCTCGCAAATATGAATTATCCCAACTGGTTAATAACAATCTTACACCGTAGTCTTTTATTGACTGACATAACTGTCCATCTTCGTCTGGGTAGGAATACAAGTTCGATAGCTGCTTAAACAGACTAATCACATATTTGTGATACTGTAGTTTCATCCCAGCTATCCTACCGGACTTGTGAAGCACCTGCTTTTCACCTGTGATAAATCATTGTTCAATGTTATTAGCCACCACTTCTTAATGAACATGTGGCAAATTGATGACGCGTGGAAGATGATCCGTTCACAAATGACGAACCTTGTTGGCTAATGATGTGAATCATCATTAGAGGATTAGAGGATTACTCATCATGCTCAACCTACTCCATGTTCCTAATTAATGCAATGGGTGCACTTGTTAGTTAAAAGCGTGTGTGACCGTGTAGGTTTTCCTTTGATCAATCGATGTAGATCAGTTTTGTAGCTGCTGCACCAAGTCCAATGTTGCTGCTGGTAACTCAAGATCAAGCACCGCTTTTGTACCAAATCGTTTACCGCACCTACACTGCATCATTCGCCAACGCCCTGGATAGCATAGAATGACCTGGATTGCGTCTTGCTTCTGTGTACGAATGATTTCCGGTCCGAAGCATTGGCCCTGCCCGCCACCTTTCTAAGTCAAAAACTGTCTTTTGTACTGTTTGCTTTGAAATATAAAGCTTTTCATGTTCTACGCACCACAGTGATTCGTTGCTAGAGCACATGGAACCACATTTTAGGCAAATGTACCGAAATATTACTGAATAGTGAGCGAAAGTTGTCTGTCTAAAGAGAATCAACTAAATCCGTCGTTACAAAATGATTAACTGCTCCCTGTTGTAAACAATATGTACAGTGTTAGAAACAGATTTGTTTAAGCAAATGGTTGAAACCCGTATAAACCCAGTGATGTTACGCTGCTTTCCTCAAGCTTCAATTTACAAGGACTGAATCCAAGAAGCAATAGTACATTTTTTCCTACAAATATGACTAACGCAAGAAAGAAGTGTAACGTACGTGGATAAACATTACTGAACTATCCAAGTATTGGCACTGCGTGTTGACTCACTTTCCAAACGTTTTAGTTTAAACTGATAGACACCAGTGGAATCTAAAACTTAGGCTACGATTTGAATACCTCCTGCGAATAACACTGCCAAAAACTGGTACAGCAAACAGCTGGCCACTCAGCTTTATAAGGCAGTTTCAGGGATAACTACTGAAAGATATCACAATATCATCGATAATAGAAGCTAGCAACGACAGCCGGGATTCTTAACTTCCCTGGGGCAAATATCAGAAGTTCCTAAGTCGTTACCAAATCAGATGACATTGTCGATACTGAAGTGTTTCTTATAACGGTTGTAGTTACACAACAATTACGAAAATGCTTCATTAGGGGACATTCCTTAATGAACAAGTTTATCCCTAGGGAAACACTGATTGTCACAATGACGCTCTGCGATTGCCGCTGCAAATAGGGAATAGTTGAGTTGCAAATGAAATTTTGCAACCTAGTAGTATTTAAACAGCATAACAGTAGGCATTTGTGCTCAACAACACTTTGTTGCTTCTACGACCACAACATTTAGCTGCCAATAAGCACTCAGCTGTTTAGAACGCGTAACGTTCCCTCCACTTGTAGTCGTTATGGTGGAAATGCAGCTCACGGTTGTGGCAACGCTACCATGAAAAAAATTTTACTAATGTTTTCGTTTGTTTGTTATCACAATTCCTTGTGCAACCATCTATCGACCACCTTGTTATCCAACTAGTTTTATTGAATCAATGAAGCAGCAGTTATCAATAAAGTCAATATTACTCGCGACTTTGCGAATAGTCACGCATTTGGATCCGGTTGTCACTTAATGCACAATGATGGTAGATATGAGCGCCTGGTGTATGTCTTTGGCTACTTCCATTTAATGACACCAGTTACCCTAGTCTACTTTCAGTGCAATACATGATCGTTTATAATGACAAAAATGTAAAGATTGTTGTATTTACTGGAGGGTCTAGGATTGTGTTCCAAAACACGGGTTACAGACTGCGAAATGATCATAGAAATATGGAGTGGGAAAAGTTTCCCCTATTAGCTGCAAATCAGTTAACTTCTAGCCGACTGGCTATTCTCAAGTTTACTTGTGATTCTATTGTAAACGTGTTCCAGACTGCTTAGTTCTCGAATATGTCTTTGGCCTCTAAAAATGTGTGTCATTAATCTTACTCGGTCATCCGAACAACGCCTGAAATCGTGCTGATCCCGAGATGCAGCTCACTTGGCAAGGTAGGTTAGTGCAGTTTAGTTTCTCCCGAACATTTTTATTATCCTGTCTCCCAAGTCAATTATTTATTTCACACTCATCTTATGACCTTATTTTATGCATGTTGTTGGTCATCGTTTTTCTCCTGAAGTAATACTGCACGACGCACAAGTTTATGCTTGGAGCAACTGAAAAAGCTCGGCTGCCAATTAGATTGATTGTTAGTACTTGTTGAACTGCGCGTAATTTTCATTTGAATTGGCTTTGCGAGGTCGCCGTACTCAAACCAGTGTATCAATACGCAGCAGGTGTAGTATCACATAAAAAGGAAAATTGGGATACTTTCGCTATGCCTTTTTCCTGATGTCTAAACAGCTTGAACAGAAACAAACGCAAATCTGTTCTCTGACATGTAACATATGAACGCAATAACATAAAACTATCCTTAGCAAATTCCAACTAAGCTGATTCATACAGAACAGCTAAAGTTGAAATTGTACAATTCCTGCTTGACTCCGTTGTGACCGGCTCAACCAAAGCGCATAAATATATATGGACTTAAGGAATAAATTATGGTATTAAAAGTTCGGCGTGCAACTACGCGGGGTTTACAATACAGCAGACCTCTCAGTAACTTGGCAGAGTGATATCTTTAGATTGTGATGACTGTGTAAAATTTGCTAACCTATAAGTGCTGCGTTTGCAAAGTACTGTTGTACAGGTCAGTCAACTATGAATTTGCCACTGCAGTGCAGCCTAATCACAACTTACGTAAAAGTTTCGAGATAAACGCGGCATTATCTGCTCCTACTAAATCCAGTGACCAAATCACCTACCTATGTAAAGTTGAAGCTAAGGAACTGACTGAAACACCACTTATATCTCCCACATTTGCAACTTGGTGTATAACGATACACGTTAGAAATGCCGAAGTAAGTTGCTGACGGGTTTCGCGTTTACAAACTTGACCACTGTTTACGTAAGGAGCATGAGAAGTGTGGCCCTGAGTACATAGGGCTAATAAGCAGATGGTGCACACAATCTGGACCGTAATGAGGTAAACACAGTAAGTCCGTGCAGCGTGATGCTTATCAGTCAATTAGGACACAGTCTTTCGATCACGTTGCCCAGGCCCATCGGTTGGGAGATGACTGGCTGCGTCATGTGAGGAGACTGCGAATCAGCACATCGTTGGGGCAAACGGGTTGAAGTCATTCATGTAGGGAAGAATCTACATTCAGATGCACGACGCACATGGTCGAATGTTTCCAAGATTACAGCCAAAGGGTCTATTAGGTTATCTGATACTGTGCTAAAACCATTGTGAAATGCAAGATGATATAGGGCAAAAGAGTCACAGTATAATTACCAATCACACGTATGTTAAAATCCACTATAATTTCGCGGCGAAAACTTATTAAAATGTTGTAGTACATACGCAAGTCGTCATAAATGTGATACCTACCTCAAGGTCATCTCGATGTCTGCTGCGAGTGCTTCCTTTACTCTTAAGATCAACAGAACGACAGAAATCTGGAACGTAGATCCGTACGGTTGAATCTTCATTCAATCCAGGCGTTGTAATAAAGCCCACTTTGAATAAACAAAAATATATACAAATTCTAAGCGGGACAAGGAATATTGCATAATGTATTAAGCGCAGTAAACTGGCTTTCATCCATAGTTTTTGAAGAGATTTCAGCAAACAAACCCATAATTATTTTGTAAAATCAGCGAAAACGGATTGCCGGCCTACGATAAAACCCCGATTTGTGAATCGCACCGCTTACACCGGAGCACATCTCGTTGAAACTGCTTATCCAGTCACACGCTACACATCTGTTAGATCATATCTTTCAGTCATCTAGTGCAGTTATCTAGTGCAAGTAACGGCATTTTCGTGTTTAGCGTACATCTGTAGGTAGTTCAGTGTAGTATAGCACATAAAGCTGTGGTTTTACACCTCAGACTTGTACTTTTTATTCAGCATGTTTAATAATCTACTCGTAGTCTGTGCTGACGCCTCACAATAAGCTTATCCGTTTTCCCATTTCTATACAGCCATTTAGTTTGCTCACACATGCCCCGTGCACCAGATCTACTTCCGCTACGCTGTCAGACCAAACAATTGTTATTAAGATTGTACATAACAACAACGGTGTTTAACACAATATTTTGGTTGTTTCATCCTGTACCCGCATTTTTAACTGTGCGGCTTTTAGACAATTATGTCAAATACTTAGAATAGCCAATAGTTTGGGTAGTAAGGCATAGCTTTCATATCAAATTATGGAAGCGTTTATCCTCTTTATGACCAGTGGATACGAAGGGTAAATTAGATAGCATCCCGAGTTGCTGCGGTTTGTGGAATTGGTCGTAACACGTTCGGAACATGCGCGACATTGTAGGATGAGCCACACAATATAATGGTTAGAAATCAGTCATGGTATTTCACCGTTGTCACCCATGTTTCAGTGACTTAAATAGCTGATTCACAGGAGTAACATCATGGATTCCGATCCAACCAGATCTAAAGCAGCCATTCTTACTGGGAGCCATATGGCCCACATGTGGCCATAGGTAATTTTCAGGGGCCCGGGGGTTGGAAGAATGTTTTTGGAGCCATAGGATGTCATTCTGTGAAAATAGGGTTGTGATAACACAATTAATCAAATTCAAATTAAAAACAATTTGCTGGTAGATTTTCCCTAAGCGCCAACCTCCCCTAGTTACTAAAGAGCATTAAGATGAATTACGCTTGCGTAAGTGGCCGTTTACGAAGGTTTGGACGCCAGATCGGGCAGACTTTCTGTTGCGGAGCTGACATGGCTCCGTGAAACATGCGTAGATTTTGTCGGCCACACCTCAGACATAAAATCACAATACCGCAACACAGACTACGCAAGTAACAACCCAGCCATTCTCAGAACATTGACATCCAGCCACAGTGAACTAACAGAACTCTACTCAGGACACCGATGCATGTAGTTTGCAAGCTGCAGTGAACTCACTGCATGAGTTACCGCGCAAAGGCACACTGACACATTGCGTTTTTCTCAGGGAACTACCACCGAGTGACAAATAATGTGCCACTCGGTCTTTCATTCGCTTTGGGTCTCGGCGTAGTGGTGCTGGTTTAGCATTGACCGTTTCCAGTCAAATCTCCCATCTACATCTGACGGTTAGTTCACGTTAGCTAGTACCGTGCCGAATTCGAGTGGTTATTCTGCGCCAGTGAGTTGCCCCCTTTGATGAACCTACGTCCGTTCCGACAGAGTTGAAGCAACTAGTTTGCGTTAGAACGCATTCATAATATTCAGTTCAGCTAAATTCTTCAAGTTAACGAGCAGTCTTGTCTACTTACATGATTCGTGTGGACATCTGCTTTCTGTGGTGAGTATGTGTGCGCATAAAGATACTGCTTATAATACTCATAATAAACAAACCTCTTGGAAACACTTCGTGGGTGCTACATTTGTCAATAGCCGATGAACGTTATAAATTTCGTCTTTGGCTCTCCCATGTCGGTTTCTTAAAGTGTCCGGTATATTTTGGTTTGCTATTTCTCTCCTTCATTTTTTAGTTGTCATTGTTTGCTTCAACTTTCCTGTACTGGATGTGTCCTGTGAACATTGTCGTTTGCTAAGTTCTATAGGCTTTGTGCTTCATTGGTTTTCGACAGGAAGTTTTCTTCATTCACTTTAACTATCCACAACATTTTCAAATCACCTCAGCAACCACCTGCTAGTTATCACTAAAAATGCTTCTACCCTTTTGCATGCTTTATATTATGGCCACCAACTGATGTCACAAGTATGCTTATTACATGATTCCTCTTATAGTCTCACTAGCAAAAAGATTAAATCTAATGCCATCAGTCTTTCATGACGTCTATGTGTTTGACCTTGTCAAATGACGTTAGATACTACTAACGATGTAAGTGAATATAAGTGAGAAAAATACAAGAATTACAATATTATATTATAATATATAAAAAATTTCAGTGACATTGTTTCAGAAATGAGCTCTTCGGCAATGATATGTCGGCAGTACTCCAGGAACCCGCGTCAATTGCATTTATTGCATCAATTCAAAACCCCACTCCATCAATGTGTTTAATTTGCCAGAACATTCGAATGAAAGTATGAGACCAAATAAACTGCACAATCATTTAAGAAGTGTTCATAAGGATGAAAGTTGAAAGTTTGTGGATATATTTAGAAAAACGAGAGAGTTACGTAAAAAGACCAACTTTAAAGAAGATTATTTCCGATTGGGCTGACGAAGGAGAGTGGACTTACGACGTCTGATAATTTTAACAAGTTGATTGCTAAATTGTGCAGTATACATAATATTGACGAAAATAATATCTAACCTTCAGTAACAATAATACCGTCGGACCTGATGAACTTGAATCCTCAAGAAGCAGTTGAAGCCATTCCTCTTAGCAACTCAACTGTATCAAAGTCAATAGATATGGTGGCCCAACACATATAGCCTAACATATAAATTACTTTAGTTACTATACTACAGTTCAGAAAATTTTCGTCACAATTAGTCGAATCACTTTTAACTGATAACTGGTGGCATAGGTCTGATTCGTCAATGATAATGAATTAATGATAGAGATGCTGTTCGCCAACAGAAATAAAACCCACACAAATTGCCACTCTGTATCCAACTTGTCAATGACTATTTGACTGTAAACTCCATCTCAATGCCTGACGTAGTTGCACGTGGAAAAGATGGTGCCGCTGCAGTTGTTAGATGATATAAAGGATTTATTTCTTATCTACAAAAAGCTTTCCCTCCTGTTTATTCAATTCACTGTGTGCTTCATCGAGAGAACCTGGTGACTAAGAAATTAGGAGGGTGCTCAAACGATTCACTGCCAACTATTATAATATCAGTCAATACTAGCCAATCGCACCCTGTTTCAAATCGTCCTTTTCAGCAGCTGTGGGAAGAGACCAGTGAAGATTTCCACATTCCACTTTTGAGTAAAGAGGTTTCGATGGCTCTCCACGGGTTGCTTTGTTGCACGCTGGGACACCTTACCGGAACTGATTATGAAAGAAAACGGTTGATAGCTAAGCCAGATGTTTTATTCGGTTTTGAATAAATCAATTTACTAAATAAAACCCTCCGAGATAAGTGGTGTAATCTCATCGCAAGCAAAGATGGGATGATCGCTTTTTTTAAAAATCTGGAATTGTATGCTCCGAACATCAGACGTCGGGAATTATCATAGTTCCCAATTATCGCTACAACCAAGGAGGAGCTGAAGGATGAAGACTTACTTGTTTGTCACTCATTTACAACAACTCCGAAAAAGAATAATAGACAGGTTTCATGACCTGATTGACATGGAATGCCCGATTTGGATTTTACATCCATTTGAGGTACATCACTGCTATGTTGTAGTTAAAATCCAGGAAGGTCTCAAAATGCTCTAAAAGATACACTAGAAAGATCCAACTCATGCAAAATAAAAAGGTTTTTTAGATAAGCAGTGATGCCAATAATAGATATTCCAGACTGTGAGAAATAACCAAAATAGATTGCGTTGCTTTTAAACTTACATAGTTGATTGAATGTGAATTTAACATGGTGGATTCTCTGACAAATATTAGAAGCAGGTTGGATATCACAGCATGAGCAGATCATTGACTCTCGCTGTCCTCTAGAGTCGGACGTTAGCAAGCATGCTCAGTGACATAGCCTGAAGAGGCATAAAGATTTCAAAGTTAAGAACTTACTATCCCTCTTACACCAGTACATGCTTCACAGTTAAAAGCTAACAATTATTAAATCACGTTAAATACCAATGCTGATGTTTGCGTAATCACAGATAAGTTGCTTGATGTTGCTACAAAATGAATGTATTCTTGTAACTGTGAATGTTTAAAAATGAGCTTTATACAGCAAAAAGCCGTAATACCAATATTAAAATGTTGCCATCCTAGCAAAAGCTATAAATATGAACACTGGAAATCACAGCTTTACGTGTGTTAGGCTTTGCGCTTTGCTGTAATGTTGGTGATCAAGGGTGGGCGGCCATGAGAAATGGAAAGGATCGAAAGAGAACATTTGTTGAATAAAGGTTGCTAATGCCTGATCTAAAGAATGCGCACTAATGACGGTTCTGAATAGAGCAAGTGACGGTATAACGCTCTGCTGGATGTGTGATGAGTCTGACCTAGTCTATCTGCAGGGAAAGTTCACAAAAAGCAGCTTTCGATGGAATTGATTGCGTGGACGAAAATTCGCATGCTGGGAAGCCGTGCTTTGTGCTACCCATGTGATAATTAAGGTACTTTGGTAACTTATGCTCGACTGGCACAAAGTACAAATTTTTCCTTTCTTACCTAGCAGGATTTCCAAGGTACTCAACACTTTGTTTATATGCGGAGTCGGTGAGGAGGCTGACATACTCTATTGCTAGTGTCTCTTCCTCTTCTGCACAGTTAAGCACCTTTAGTTGCAAACACACCCACATCATCGTATGTTGGCTAGAGGTGAGTGACACCTATGATATTGTGCCGTAATGCCATGAAAGAATGGACCACTGTTATAATACCGATAAAAAGCCA